TTGAGAGAGGGAGAGAGGAGAGAACCATACCAACGTGCATGAGGAAATGAGAGAAACTGCAGACCCAGAATGAATGGGCTTAAAAAAATGCATGGAAAACTATGACAGAATTGATTTGGGCTGAGCTTCCTCTGGCTCTCATGTTTCGTATCTTTCTATCACTGATGGGTGATGGTAGGAAGGGAGAATCTTTGGTTTCAGGGCCCAGAAGTAAAATAAACAAATAAAATTTAGGATTGAGGAGCTTGAGGGAGTCATCCAAAACTATACATAAAAGGAATGAGATAATTCTAGGCTGTCGATTTGTAAATGAAGCTTATTAAATTGTCTCCCTTTAGCAGGCATTGGAGACTGTCGGCAGAGAGTGTGTCCTATTTTAGACATTTTCTTAGAGCTAGCTGCACCCCCGCCTCGTATCTGATTTTACATACTCCACAATGCCGTCGGTTCATGGAGTGACTTTAGTTCTATTGGCAATGTTAATTCTCTGCCTGTAGAAACTAAAGTCTACTCGGCATAAGGTGATTTTTGTTTATTATCTGAAAAGATTCAAGATTACACTAAACTGATTTTGGTATGGCTCCCTTCAACCTAATCATATCGGACTTCTCTCAACTTAACCAATGGAGTCGAATGCCTCCCTGTATTATATTTCTGTTCAAAATAAAAGTCATGCACAATTTAAAATTAGCTCCAGTAGTTTGCAAAGGTTGCAACTGTACAGGTTTAAACTATCAGCAAATTGAAAGGTTGATGTGAGTGATCACGCATGTACTTTAGCTAGAACTATTTCCAAGCGCAAGTCTAAAGATCTGTCTCTCTTCCAGCACATGATTAATTTGTTCATGCCAGGGTTACTGACGGTTTGTGGCCAGCCTCATGTCAGGCAGCTCTCAGCAGGTGTGAATCAATAGGATCCTATGTTGTCACTATATCATAATTTTAATTGTCCCTTTTTATTAGACTTAGCAATCAGATATCAAGCAAGACTGAAATAACAAGAATAGATGCTGAACAGAGAAAAAGGACCATTTTACAAAATTATATTGAGGGGAAATGAGACTGATATTTATCTGGGTGTGTATGTTGCTACACACACACACACACACACAGACACATATGCTTTTTTATTGAAGTATAATTGACATACAATATCCTATTAGTTTCAGGTGTACATCATAGCAATTCAGGAGCCCTCGTACACTGTTGGTGGGAATATAAATTGGTGCAGCCACTATGGAAAACAGTATGAAGGTTCTTCAAAAAATTAAAAGTAGACTACCATACAACCCAGCAATTCCACTTCTGGGTATTCATCTGAAAAAACAAAAACACTAATTCAAAGAGATGTATGCACCCCTATGTTCACTGCAGCATTATTCACAATAGCCTAGACATATATTTCTTATATTTGATAGTACTAGAATACAGCTACTTCTGTAAAGTCTGGGGCTCATACCATCCTAGCGTCTTTTAAGAGAGCTAGTACCCCTGCCCAGGACCACACGAAGTGGAAACAAAATTGGGATGATCAGAAAATGGTGCTATGTACACGTATTCTAGCCTACCATATTGAACAATTCAATCTTGCCAAAAATAGAATTATCTTGTGATGCATCATCATAGGTCACTCATTGCTTTTACTTTTCTGACACTGTTCTTTAAATCTTTTGTAAATGAGTCCTTCTTCTCTGCAGATATTTTTGTCAGCACAGTCTGGCCTTACACCTCCTGAGTTCAACAGAAGGAGACAACTGTTAGAACAGCACGTGACTTCACAACCGCCAAAGCAAGGTGATAGGCCACGCCTCCAAGGAGAGGTGCTTGGAGCAGGCAGCGCCTGCTGTTAGAAGGCAGACTTCTAAAACTGTGTGAACACTTTTAATGTATTACCACTCCCCTGGGAATTGGCTACTTCTCTTCCCACTTCAGAAAATGCATAATGGGACTTTGTGTTTCAATTTAAAGCCCCTTGAAAACGGAAATCTTTCCCTTTACGAGAGAAAAAATAGTAAGAAGGCAAGAGAGAAATGAATTAGGCAGTCTCCAAAGCACACTGGCTCAACTGGGAAACTGCGACCAAAGCAAGCACCGTAATAATATAATGACCTTTAATGAGTGTCTTGGGAAACAATACAGCCCTTGCAGAAAAGACAAAGGGCAAAACCCATCATGGCTCTGCTGACACTAATTCAACATGATTTTCAGAACAACTAAAGAATGTATGAGAAGTAATCTGATCCACCCATCTGACCTCACTTTGATTCAAGGGCCCTTCTCCTGCCATTTCTAATTGACAAACCCTCTACATTTCACATCTGCTCATATTTAATGAAAAGCCCACTCTCACCACTGCTCTTTGAGTCAACTAGCTCTGTCAAATGGGCACCACCCAACCCCACCACCAGTGAGGGAAGCCCAGGGATTGCTCTTGGAGCTCTGCCAGTGGAATTCCACAGAAAGAGAGACATTTTTTAATTGGAGAAAAAGGGCTTATGTGGGCACACGAAGGGGCTCAAATTGAAATGGATTTTTCTAACTTATTATTAATGGTCAAAGGTGAGTGGTCTCACCCACAGATGGATGAAATCTGCTTTTGTTTGGTGGAGTGATGACAGCAGGGAGACTGATGAAACAGAGGAGGCGAACCCCCCTGAGCTGTCAGTACCAGTTAAGTCTTCAATATACAACCCAAAGCCCCATGTTTTCCACAGTAAGGCTGATTTCAGAAGGGTAGGAAGGAGAGCAACCTCATGCACAGGATGTTTCTGAGAGGACAGGACAATCCCACCTCAAGTTTTTCTTCTCCTGGCCTCTATCAATGCTTGGATTAATTTGCAGAGCTGAATAATCCCTCCAATTATGGTTTCTCCCAGATAAAATGGAAATTACACACACTGGGTATCATGGGCCTCCTGCAGAGGACACAGATTTTTCTGTGATTGGTATGGGTGACCAGTGCCAAGACATGACCGCAGGGCCCTAGTTTAGAGCCTGAGTGGCTCCTTCCTTTTCTCCACTGAATCTCTGGCCAAGGTTTTAGAGCCTAGTGATTATCTGAAAACAGAAGATGAGCCTTAGGGCAGAAGGATAACCCAGGTGACTGGTGGTTACATGTGCCACAATCAAAGAGATGTGGCCAAACTGTGCCACCAGAGCTCACCCCTTTGCCTTTCCTCTGCAGCTCCTAGTGCCTCTCCACACACTGTAGACAAATTCTTTGTGTGGTTGTGACCTCATCCACCTCGGTAGTGTCATATGGACTAGAGAGAACTCTTAGGGTAAGGATAAAAGGGTAAGGGTTCATACTGTGGCATTTGTAAGAAAGATGTTAAAGGAAACTTCCTTTCTAAAAAGTTTGTTTTTAAGCCAATGTGGTTGGGACAGTCCAAAATCCCTCTCAATACATCCTCCATAAGGTATCACTTTTACAAACAAATGTCTCTTGGCACTGTCTGGAGGGGCAGTGAGTCATGAATCAGAAGATGAGTCTCTGGTCCCAGATGGAACTTCTCCAAATGCCTCTAAGACAGCTCAATGCACAGATCATGCCTCAGACCTGAACTGCAGGCACAAACATCACACCTGGCATGGCACAACACTCCGCTGCACACAGCGAAGTTAGGGCTCCCTCAACCCTGGAAGCCTCTATGGATCACCATCAAACAAGCACACCCCACAGGGACCACCTTCAACACCAGTACATGTGAGTTGAGCAAGTAATACTCAAGAGTTTAGTGCTCTTCTCCATCCTTGTTGCCAGTGTGAATTAACTCCTGTTGGTGAAAGTTTAGTTCAACCAGCTCTGGGCACTTAACGAGAGAGAATGGGTGTCAATACATGTGTTGAGTGCTTCAAGAGGAGGGATGAAGCACAGAAGGAAGAACTTTCTTCTATCTCCTGTGCTGCGAAAATGTGAAAATAAGGTTACAGCCACACTTTAAGGCATCCCTAGTCCTCCTGTGGAACCACAACCCCTTCGGCCCTTAGATGAGGACCCAGGTCCCAGCATCTCAGTGTATGAGCTGGAGCTTTCAGTAACATCACCTACAAACTATGTCAATAAAACACAAGCAAAGTCCACGCTGAATACCAGTGTGAGGGAGGTCTCAGGAATCTGGTGTATCTCAGCTTTGTCAGCTACCAGCTGCAAGACCTTGACAAGTTCTTTAACATCTCTGAGCGCGTGGGTGATAAAGACGACTGACCTCAAAGGCCTGTGCAATGTACTTAGGGAAATCATGGAGGTTCATGGCATACAGTTTTTGTTGTTATTTTGCTAAAATTGCTACAAGATATCTTAGTTAAACAGGGGGTTATATTTTTGGAAAAATAAAAGATATTAATGGAATGATCTTTTGAATTAGTCATCTTTCTGAGGGGAAGCTCTGGAATCCAGCAGTCTATATAGGTTGGCAGAGTTAGAAGACTCTTTTTCAGAACAGAGGACACAATCTGGCACTGGAGGAATGAGGTACAGGTGAGGCAGACACACTAAAAAATATCTCTGTGCATCGAAACCTTGTTGTATTTTGGAAGCCATCTAAGCTCACTAAAAGCAACTTAATGCTGGAGTTGGCTTGCTGTCTCTACACCCTTTTCCTCCCTCCCTCTGACCCAATCCAATGTCTATCCTTTCCCCAAATATTAAGATATACATTTCCACACATCTCTCTATTAACATAGCATTTGATTAGCTGTCACGTTAGTTTCCATCGATATTTACTTACAGGAGAGAGGGAGAATATCACCAGACTGTACTATCACAGTCCTGCATGCTATTACAGGAAGCATGAGTTAACAGAGTGGGAAAGGAGGCCTTCCCCAGCACGTACACAGTGACACAGGCAACTGGGGAAACACGTCACCACACACGAGGTCACACGGGGAAGAAAACATCAGTCTGACGGACTCACAGAACCGACAGGGCAGGACACAAGATGGGGATGATACCACAGACAGCACAGACATGGAAGTGCATGTGTTGGGGTTAAACTTACAGGCACGGAAACTGGTGGAGCAATCATTAACAGAGACAGAAGAAAGTGGGAAGGTTCTCTCAAGGGTGTCCATGTTACCACGCACACGGCCTGACATGCACGAGCAGTCACGCTCAGAACGTCCGCAATCAAAACAACATGCCCGTCGCATTCTCTTGTAGATGGACATCTTGGCTATAACCATGTGGTTGGATGAGAGGAGAGGAAGAGCGGTAGTTAATGGCAAGGTCACACACAGCGAGGCAGCCGGAAGGGAGCTAAAGGGATTTAACACAGGTCTTAGTTCACGTTAACAGTCTTGACCCAGAAAAAAATGCAGAGTGACTTTTGGGAACAGTTTGGTTGTACATCAAAAAAAGCAGCAAAAATATAAATTGCTTTTATAGTCTCCCAAAGCTATTGCATATTATTTTTCTCCCTTAGGTAAAGTGGGAGACCACAAGAAAAGAGCATAGCTGATTACAGTCAGGTTCTTGGATGAGAATAAGAGCACATTATAGACAGCAAAAATGTAACCAACATTTTTCCCCTGGCACAATTAATACAGGAGGACAACATACACACACAGCCAATCCATCAATTGCTTATTTGGTACCATAAATGGTTTTTGCAGATGCAAAAACATCTAATATGTAGGCTTCCTAATTTCCATCCATTTCTGAGCATTAGGCAGAGGCTGGGACAAGCTTTCATCAAATTAGATGTAAAACGATTACATGTTAATATAGAATCTGAGGATGCCTCTGTTGAACTTCCCCAGAGTGAGTTTACATGATGCCTACAGGAATTTAAATTTACTCTTGACAGAACAAATATCCAAATCTGTCCATATAAGAAATGCAGCTACTCAAGGCTAATGCTGCGTATTTGACATTAAAGGCAGTTCACAAATAAGAAATCACCAAAAGCATAAGAGATGTTGGTCTATTGGAATGCATTTAGCTACTCATGGGTGTATTTTCAGCTTAAAGCTTAAGAGAATCTGAAAATCGCATCTGCTCTTCTCTTCCAACCACCAAAAAGTCAGAAAGCAATTGGGCTACTGGTTAATCATAATTTTTTCTTATACAGAAAACATTGATTAAAATAGATTAAAAATTACAAAGCATGAAATAAGAGAATAGATCCCATTTAAAATATCTTATTGAGATTTGCATACAGCAATGATAGTTCTAAAGCTAGTATCAGAGGTTCTGTGCTGCCTGGGGATCCACTGCGGGTGCTAACCTACAAAAGTTGGTGGACATCACTGTAGCAGTTCTCAAGGCCCTTGACCTTTACCCTCAGGTCAATTTATATTCCAGTACAACAAGAAGCTTTTTGTACCTCATTTTGATGCTACAACAGGCAAACATGTTTGCTTTCACTTAGTGTGATCTGGCTTGCTTCTTTCACAGAATGGGAGAAGAATTCATATTTATTCCACGGATCACAGTCAAATTGCAAGCTGAACTGGAGAGGTGTTATTCCCTGGGCCCCTACCTTCCCTTTGGAAAGCCATTTTTTCCCCTCTTTCTTTTTCTTTGTGGAGAATGGTTGCACTTTTACTTTAAAATATGGCTTGTGGTTTTGCCCTCTTTGAGTGTTACAGTCACCAGGAAGAAGGGTTTAAATCTCTCGAATGGGTCAAGTCCTGTTCTAAGACCTTTATGACTTGCCATACAGTATATTTGTCAAGCAAGGGTAACGTTATGATTGTGAAGAACAGGCACGGGGGGGATGAATGAGAGATCTCTTCAGCAGCAACTCCATTCCTGTAAACTTGGCTCACGTCTTAGTGGCACGTTCTTTCAGCATCCTAGCTAGTCAGTTGTTCAGATCATCATCATGCAGCCCTAGCCCCGTTCAATGCGTGGAACATCATTCCTGAGCTCAGCATTTACAAAAAAAAAAAAAGTTCCACTATAGCATTTGAATCAGAAGAATTGAGAAGGTATGGTGTGAATGCCCAGACACCCTAAACAGCAGCTGTTGAAGTCAAGAAATGGGAAAAAAGTCTTCAGTTGAAGACATGAAAATAAAGTTATTTTAAATGCATCCAGATCTGGTGTACGACTTGGGGAGAAATCGCTTGTTTTTTCTTTCTTGGTTCTTTTACTAGAAATATTGATTTGTTATTTACACAGAGGAGGGAAACGAAGATGATTTTTTTGTTTCACTGCAGATAAATTGTTTTGAAAAAAAATTTTAATCAAATGCTGTAGTAGAAGAGAAGCCCATCAAACTCTGAAATGCTATGCTTCTCATTAGCAACAGTCCCTGGTTTTCATTTCCATACTGCCATTTTGTGTTCATATACAATAACAGAATCTGACACATTTATAGCAAAAGAAACTTCTTATATACTATTTTTAAGGACAAGGGGAGGGAGGTTGGAGTGAAATAACTTTTGAAATGATTTTGTGAGAGGTAAGCCTATCATAGTGGATGATTTAAACCTCCTACTTGATAAGAGTCCAGGAGGAAACACACTTCAAACCAGTGCCTCTCAGGGACTGTTTGCAACTGTTAATGTTGGCTGTTGTGGAGACCATGCATTGTTCTAAAATTTCATATTGTTAGCATGCAGGAACAGGCTGAAACTGGTAATCGAAGCAGCAAAAAACCATTTGCTATAAGAAGATTAAATGTTAATTATAAGCAGTCACATTCCAAAGCAGCTTGTGCATAAAAAGGAAAACATGCTATTACTCGTCATTCCTTCCCAGTCAGCATGTTTACACTCACACCAAATACAAAATAGAAATCTCAGAAGACAAACAAGCACCGCCACAAAAAGTCAGCAAGAATGATCAATGAGAGGCTCAAAGACAAGACAGAAACGGTGAAAAAATGATTGAGCCCCAAACATTCACAAACCTTCGTGAAAAACAATGCCTAGACCAAGGTGCCACCGACTGGGTGAGTGGCTCTTTTGCTCTACTTCTGGAATAGTTTATTTTCATTGGCCCCCTGTCAGGTGTCTTCACCTATATACTTCCAGGTCGACTTTCTTAAAAGGTAAGGCCCATTCTGAGCTCCCATCTGGTGGAGTGATCCGTCAGACTTGAAGGATGTCTCCCAACCAGGAAAAGCCTTCCTCTGGGCTGTGATATGAGTCACAAACAAGCTCTTTAACTAAAAGCAGATGAGGATTTGTCCCCCTGGTGGTAGCTGTTCCAAAGGTGTGGACACTCTGTGTGTAACATTCTACTCTCAAGTTGTAAAATAAAATTATATCAAAATTAAGTTGTGGACCTCCTGATTTGGAAAATACCACCCCTCGTCTCCCTCAACTCTCCCTCTGGCTTCCTGATCCTTTGATTTTGCTTTAGGGAATCATGAATATTCAGAACCACTGGTATTTTACTTCCATTTCTCCGTCATTGTTTCCTTGTCTAGAGCTCACGTAGGTTAGATGGTTAATTTCAGATAGCAGAGTACCACTTAAAACTCCCAAGGTTGGGTTTCAAAGAGCAACTTTGAAAGTTTCAGTATTTATTTAAAACAGAAGTAAATTTCATAGCTCTACTCCGTGGCCACATGAAGTGCTCTCTTTCCTTCGTTGTTTGCTGATCTTTTTTACATAGTCATCCGAGGCTCTCTTCCTAAATCCCAAACCTCAGGAAAGGCAGTTTTCCCCAGGGTTTCAATGGTAAAACAAAGTAGACCTATGAGGACATCTAGTGGATCTGTGTGGAAGAGCAGCTAGTTAACGGACCACCTGAACCAACTAGCCTTTCTTTGAAAGGGAGTAGAAATAGGACGGTGTGTGTCTCTAGGAAGTGAAATGTGTGCAGTGTCATCTCAGTTCACTGGCTTCTCACAATCTACAGCAGATGTTTAGGGGACAGCGGGACAAAGGGGTGAGAGGTTCAAGGAGGTGGTGCTAGAGTGTTCAAAAGTGGCAACTGGCAAGCACATGGGCTCTGTAGCCATGGCCAAAAGAGTAGGACTGCTTCAGTACCAGCTAGCTGGGTCTCCAAGCCCTACTGCAGCTTCCTGAGACGGGAGACAGACGGAAGCCAGCCTCCGGTAGGTGTGAATGCTGCAGCTACTTGTCATTCCCTCTTAGGGCTCTTGGGACGTTATGCTCAATCAATTGCCCCATAGGCTGGTGTAACTCCAGGAAAGCAGAAAAAAAAGCCTCCAGGGACTCAGTTTTCTCTTTGGCCCACATCATAAGGTTCTTTTTCTTGGACCAGTGCCACAGATTCAAAGAGGTTATGTGGTTGCCAAAAATTAGACCCTGGGTCTCTCCTCCCAAGAACTCTGTCCTAGCAGTTTGACGATTTGCCAAAAAGCTTTTACGTGCTTTCCTTCACCACAATGAAGTGGATATTCAACCAGCATTTCCATATGACTTCCTAGTGCTATTTCTAGAGACAAAAATAAAAGAATTTCCCTAATGGACATCATCAAAGATATCTGTTTACTTTTAAGTGTTTAAAACTGGAAGATTTCTCAGACATACCCTTGGACAACTTTTCCTAAATTTTCAAAAGTGGTGATCACAAGAAAGGAAACCTGTGGAGAAATGGCTGCTGTCGATGTGGCTTAGTTACTGCTCTTTCCTTGCGTCAAACTGACAATCAGCTGTCAAACGCAGGTTCTCGGCTGGTTAGCCCTTCCCAGCCAAGCCTGCAATGGAAGAGGGAGTTGGATTCCATCCTGTTCTCAGCACCATCTGCCTCCCACATCAGCAACAAAATTTTCAGCCAATTTCCAATTGCAGAATCTTAATTTCCAGGGTGGATTGGAAGGGGCAGGAAAAGCAGCACTGGACTGTGAGGCTCAGGTGGAGTCTTCCAACAGCTGGGGAGAGTATTTTAGGTTTCAAATGGAGCAATTTAGGGGAAGACTGGTGTGGAAGAAAAAAAAAATCTGCCATTCAGTTCACAGACACCATCAGATCACAAGCTCATGTTTAAAATCAGTCCAGTGAAGGGCTGATTATTTCAAAGCCAGAACCCTGGAGCTGCTCTTTACATGCCCAGCAGGAACTAAAATGATAAGTAAAAATATGCATGGGAGAGAAAGTCCACCAAGGTGTAAAGCTAAGGCATTTGTCTGATGTGACACTGGGAATCAGAGAGCACTCTTTCACGTCCTATAAATGAGGAATGATGTCTTCACTTTGCAAAATTCCTCCTATTAGCTTCTGGAGGGAGAAGAGAGATCTTCCAGGTGGTTTT